CTGTATTATATATTTCAATATATAAATATTTATTTATTATATATAAATAATACATTTGTTTAATAATTTTAAAACTTTTGCAATTGCTTTCTCTTTCTATAATATTATCTGAGAGGTATTTTAGGACACTGTCTGTTTCATTTCAGCAGTCGTTACGGTCAGTCCAACTCCCTCCCAACCACGGGCTGCGTAGGCAGCAGCGTTCCCACCCGGAGGAACCTGCGGCAGTATCAGATGCGGAGTTTGCCTGGTGTTAGACCCGTCCTTTTGAGTACCACCGGCCTGTTCGGACCAACCCCCCGAAGCAGCAGCAGCACTCCTACCGGCCTGAAGCAGGGAAGACAGGTTTGTCATTTCACAAACAACACTGAACCCGAAGCATAAATGACTCTATTACCACTTCAAACTGAAGGGAGCTCTAGTTTTTGAAGTGGATGGAGCTGGTGGCAATTTACAACATTCCAGAAATCCTACATCACTGTTGAATGGAACAACTGAGGATCGGGTTTTGGAAGCGTAGTGATAACCTGGCATTCTTGCATGTCTGCTCGAACATTTTTCTAGGCACGCTTACAGTGGGAGGAAGTTCCAACTGCCTCTCTGGTTCAGAGTCTGTGGACGGTGGATTTTAGGTGCATGAAACAGCCGATGAGTCATGTGTGGGGAGAAGTGTGCCTGGAGGGAGGAGAGAGAGAGGGGAGGGGAGAAAAGAAGAGAAGAGGAGAGGAGAGAAAGATATATATATATATATATATAATTTTATTATGGTGAAATGTTACATGGACATGTTTTCATTAGTTTCATTTATATATAGAATAATTTTCTAGAAGATTTTTATAGAATTTTATGGAATAGTCATGTTTCACACTGAATGAATCAGAAAGGATATGTTTTAATTTTTATCTAGTCAAGTAGTCATTTTATGTTTAGAACAAAAAAGGCTTCATAATAACGTGAAACTGTTTTTCATGTATTATCCATTAGCTTAGTGAACTCACTTATTTACCAAGTCTATTATGTCAGTCCTAGTATTCACATGAGCACAGCTTATAGTATGATGTGATTGTAATTTGGCTGGCATGTGTGTTTTTGTGGTAGGGTTTGTGGTTTGCCAATCCAGGGGGCAGTAACAGCATGCCCAGCCGCACCCACAGCTCAGTTCAGAGGACCCGATCGCTACCCGTCCACACCAACCCACACACCATGGCCATGTTCCAGCAAACAGGTAAGAGACAAGAACTCAAACACACTGTAGCTTACAGTCTGGTCAGGCAAAGTTAAATTACCATCATTTTTGACACAAAAACCCCCAGATTACTTAAAAAAGGCAACTGTTTGAAAAAAGTTGCCCTCCAGTTAAGGAGCTCAGAGGTAAAAATGCATGTAAACGAAATGCCATCTGATCTTGATCAACTTTGTCTCTTTTGTGTGTGTGTGTTTTTTTGTTTTTGTTTTTTGCTGTGAATGAAAATCAGTAATCAACTTGTGTGCAGTACATTGTGCTGCATTAAAAATAATCAGACAATGTATGTGCAAGTTATAACACACTTCCTGTTTCTGTTTTTTTACCATAAATTCATCGCCTCACCACGGCCAAACCGTTTGAGATATCAAAAATCCCTTTGCAATTTAGCATCCTTAATGTCTTGAGATCATGTTGTCCGAGATTGGTGGTGATTGGACAAAAAACCTAGGAAGAGTATTCATATGCGCTTTTTAAACAATCCAAAATAGCTGACTTCCTGTTGGGCAGAGCCAATGACATGCAGTGCGAAAGTTGTCCGGCTCAGTGAGATCTATATGTGTACTGAGTTTCATATGTATACGTGTAAATATGCACGAGATATACTGCAAGTTTTCGGACTGTGTTCCAGAGGACGCAGTAGAGCCCCTGTGCCACACCCGGGTCCCAAGCTCTGTGGCATCCTAATGATTGCAGATGCCAACATGTGTGCCAATTTTCAAGAGTTTTTGAGCATGTCAAGACCCCCAAAAGCCCTGGATAGATGAAAAAAAATCCTTAGAAAAGCAATAAAATATATTTTTGATAGACCTTTTTGGTCTGTGTATCTTTTAAATGTGTGGACAGCACTTCCTGAATTTTGTGCATTATAGATTTAGATTTAAAATTGCATTCAACATGCTGATACCCCGATCATAAATATATTTCTGTGATCAAATAAAACACTACAGAAGCATGGAATGGCTTGCGTCAAGTTAAAAAAAACATCATCAAATATTTGTTAGTGGTCAGACAGTTTTCTTTTTTCTGACTGAAACCATGTCACACATTTAAAGTTTTCCGGCTTCTTTGTGCTGTGTGCTCCACTGACACACATTCAGAGCAGACAGATGTTCCTCTCAGTCTGTGGCTCCACTCTGACTGCAGCTGAAACTCACTTCCTTCAGTTTGCACCGTTCTCATGGATTTACAGAAATACTTGTACCCTTTCGGAAAAGAAAGAGGGGCTGTGCACGAGACTCTGTACTGTGTTTTTGTGTAATAGGTTGCATGTTACAATGACTGTCTTTGTGCAGCATGCCTGCCACTTTTTCTGTCAGACTCATTCCCCCTCGTTTTCTCATTGCCGCCCATCCAAATGTGTTCACATTAACGCCTTGATTAATTCAAAGGCATCAAAGAGGGAACACTGTGAGAGAGACTTGATGGGACTTACAGGATTTGCTGCTTAAAAATAGCAGGTCGTCTGTTCCATCCAGCCAGTGGTTGCTTAACTCAGCTCTTCCTTCCCACAAGGGATTTTCAAAGGCCTGTTTGCTGTTGACTCAGCTAAAGTAAGGGCCAGCCCAGCCCGAGCAGCGCTGCTGGAGCCCTGAGCAGTCAGAGCCTGGCCCACCGAGACTGAAGCTACTCTTTAGAACAGAGCTCACACTGTAGGCCAGTGTACTACAGAGGGAACTATGAACACAATCAGTTCACAATCAGTTCAGTGCAATTTGCAAGCATAATGGCAGTTTGAAAATCGAGGTCGCAATTTGGAACTATTGATCAATTGCAGTATGATGACAAGGATGTGAATGAGACACTCTGAGAGGTTTGAAATGCATCTTTGTTTGCAGCCCTCATTTGAATTGTCATGTGTTGTGTATTGTCATAACTTGTTAAAGCTGACTCAGTTTGTTTGTCATTTTGCAGATTTACAGGTGCCTGTGACTGAGCCTGACATCAATAACCGTTTGGAGTCTCTGTGTCTCAGCATGACTGAACACGCTCTGGGAGGTACATGTCCACTTCTTGCTCAGTTTATAAATACTGCACTTAAAGGAATAGTTCACCCAAAAATGAAAATGACACCAATTTAAGTTATTTTATTTTTTTATTGAAGGAAATTAATACTTTTATTCAGAAAGGATGCATTAAATTGATCAAAAGTGACAGTAAAGATATTTGTCACTTTCTATTTTAAGTGTTTTGAATTTTCTATTCATCAACGAATCCTGGAAATAATGTATCATCACATTTTCCACAAAAATATTAAGCAGCACAACTGTTTTAAACATTGATAATAAAAAAAAGTTTCTTGAGCAGCAAATCAACATATTAGAATGATTTCTGAGGATCATGTGACACTGAAGACTGGAGTAATGATGCTGAAAATTCAGCTTAGCCTTCACAGGAATAAAGCGCATTTTAATGTTTATTACAATAACAACAGTTGTTTTAAACTGTAATATTACAGTTAACATAAGAAACTTCTTTCAAAAAATCTTAAAAACCTTTTTTCACTATGTTATGCGACGATATTAACGTCAATCTCTTAGAACAGAAACTACTTGTCTACTAGTTACTATGTTATCTGAAGATATTTACACGTTTTGATGTCTGAATAATACTCAAAACTCATCTTTTGGTATGAGCTAATGAATGAGGATGTTTCTAGTATTGCATCATGTTTGTTTAACAATCTGTGCGAGAAAATCTTCTGATTTTATCCCCAATCCATGAGAACGGAATTTGAGGAAATGGTTTGGATCTATGCTGACTATGGCAGGATCATGAAACCCCACGGGACAGTTTCTGTTTGGAGCATCCCGTCTGACACTCATTCAAAAGGTCAAAAAGCCTTTTGACGTCCTTTGTTTTCCTTTGAAAATGTTCAAGGGTTCCACAACATTTTGGTGGAACTTTTTGAGGTGCTTCTTTGGTGGGAGCTTTACACAACGCATCAGACACAACAATCTTCAAAAGTTTCAGACAGGAAGGAGCATTACTTTGTATCCACACGCCACGGGATCAATGCAGTGAGCATTCCCATGTAAAGTGGAGGTTTTCTTTGCATAAAGAGTGTTTTTTCTCTCAGGGCTGACACACAGAGGCTTTCAGTGCAGTGGGCTCGGCGCTGCACAAGCACAGCTTTGTGTTGGGGGAGTGCAGGGAGACAGACAGGAGAGAGGCAGGCAGACAGGTTGAATCAGGGAGACGGGCAGAAGCAGTGGGCAGCTCTGCGGTGAGCTCAGGAATGCCCCGTTCGCTCCACAGCTGCCAACAGAGCCCGTAGTGTTCTTGTGGCAACGTACCCCTAGACTTTCCCCCCTCAGGACCTCCACCTCCTCTGGTCAGCAGCCTGCCTGGGAGTTTTGTGTGCCCTCATTACGCAGAATGAGACTGCTTCCTCTTTGAAACTGTACGGTTGGGAAGTCCAAATCATTTTAAATAAACCAGAAGCAAAAAAAAAAACTGATTCACTGGGTTGTTTCAGTCACTCAAAGGCTTCCCAGAAGTCCTGTGCAATATTTTCTAGGAAGCTATATAAGTTACACTACCATTCAAAAGTTTAGGGTCAGAAAATGTTGGTTTGTTTTGTTTTGAAAGAAATTAATACTTTTATTCAATTAATACTTTTATTCAAGGACACATTAAGTGCAAAATGTTTTCTAGTAAGTTATATAAGTTACATTACTGTTAAAAAGATTAGGGTAAGGAAATTTTAATATTTTAAATATTGTAAAGTTACAAAACCGTTCAAAGGTTTCGGCTCAGTGTGTGTTTTTTTAAAATAAATTAATACTTTTGTTCAGCAAGGGTGCATTAAATTGATCAAAGTGATATAACTTTCAACACTGAAAATAATAATAAATGCTTATTAAGCACCAAATCTGAATATTAGAATGCTTTCTGAAGGATCATGTGACACTGAAGATTGGAGTAATGATGCTGAAAATTCAGCTTTTAGCCTATTTATTTATATTTAAAAAATATTCAAATAGAATAAATAGTAATAATATTTCTCAATATTACTGTTTTGACTATTTTTGATCAAATAAATCCAGGCTTGGTCAGCATAAGAGACTTTAAAAAACATTAAAAATCTTACTGAAAAAAAAAAACTTTTGACAGTGGTGTATATGTGAGTGAATAAAAATGACAAAATGTTCATTTTTGGGTGAAAGGTTCCTGAAGTGTTTCAGAGTTTCACTTGATTGTGTCGATGTCACGATGTCACTTGTTTCCATAGATGGCGTTGATCGAACTTCAACCATCTGAGAGAAGAAAAGGGGGCGCACAGGGAGAAGGCATGCCTGGCAGCAGGGGAAAAGGTCATCACGAGGTCACGAGCCTCTCTGCCTATAAACTCCCCCCCTCCACCTGCTCACCTACCAACGCCAAATAGCCAATAAGAGAGGTGGGGCGTGGTCTACACAGTGCCATTCACCATTTTCTGAAAGGCTTAACACAAGCAAGTTCTGTCACTATGACTACTTCAGCGTGTTTACATTCGAGTTTGGGAGAAAATCACATCTTCAGCACTTCCTTAGAATGCCACAAAGGGTCTACGTGTCGACAGGCCATTAGAGGGGGTCCGTAACGCAACGGAGACAGCTCAAAGCGTTCAGGTGGCTGTCTGGGACGTCACAAAATCCAAACCAACCAGTAGACGAAACCAGATCAAGACGTAGTTACAGATTCGATTTCTGTGCCTCTGTGCAGATGCGAAAAACATTACGTTATAGTATGTTTACACGTAATACTGCCAAGAAAATCAGAAGTCATTTTTTTCAGGTGCGAGCGTTGTCAAAATCCGAGGACGGTGTACAGCTTTAGGTTCCCAAATGGCTTCATACTAGTTTACAATTGTGTTTGTATTTACTGTTTTGTTGTTGTAGTTTTCTTTTGAGCCAGCAGGAAAGCTGATTTACAACACTACTAAGACAGTAAGAGCTACGGATGGTACTCAGAAGAAAGAGAGGGAGCGTGAGAGCAGAGATGGGAAAGGAAACAGGAAGTGATGTCAGCGGAAGGGACTGTAGAGGGAGCGAGGAATGTCGTACATGGATTCTGACGTAAGGAATAGTAGAGGGAGATCAGGAGGTCAGAGGAATATAGGAGAAATGCCAGCAAATGCAAGTAGATGGAAAGGTTGAAGAGGAGCAGGTGAACATAGAGGTCAGAGGTGCGCAAGTCCAGACAGAATATGCAGAAATATATAAAATAATAGAAATCTTTTTTATTAAAATATACGTTGTTATTTAAATATATTTTATTATATTTTATTTATATTTTAATATATTTAAATTGAAATATAAATAAAATATTTTAAAATATATTTATTTAAATAACATTTTATATATAAATGACAATTAAAGTTAAATAAAATACATTGAAATAAAAATTATATGTATATATTAACTATATTTTTGGCAGAAAATTTGTGTTAAACGTGGTAAAATGTGTCTGAAAGCATAAACATGCTTGGAAGAAGTGTACAGCTTCATGAATGAATCTGTAAATGCACAGCTGTAGATTGATTTAGTGATTTTGGGTAGATTACAGGTGTCATATGGAGGTTTTCAGCTGGTTTCTGCGTATTTGGGATATCACATGCCTGGTACACTGTGTCAGTAAACTGTTGGAGCAACGGAGAAATAAATATACAGTATGTATGAGGGAAAAACACTAATGCACCAGTTACTAGTACAGAGCGCCATCTGGTGGTGAAACTGTGCAATAGTTACCATTAAATGAGGCTACAGTGTTTTTTACAGTATTGTCTTAATATCAGCCATTAGTTAATCATGCCAGGTATAAAAAAAAAAATAGAACGTTTACAATAAGAAATGAGCTTTTAGTTTTAGACTCTTACAAGTGAAGATCTGATTTTCTGCATGGGAAGGGTCTGAAAGAGTTTTTTTGCTTTAATTGTTTTAATCCGGGACATTAAAGTCCCTTTATGAGGGTGTTCAGTGATTGTTAATGTATCTTATTTAGAGTTTTTCTTATAATAACTTTGCTTTTCCTGCCCTTGGTGCTGTGAATCCTTGCTGAAACCATCAAAAGTGAATTTGCAATAACGTGCAATAGACTCTTCATCAGCAGCATGATCTGAATCAAACGGCTGAGGGGGAACTGGGGGTCCCGGAAAGAAGAACTGGACTAACAAACTCCGCCCTCTCCTCCAAATCCCCCACAATTCCCGAACCGCAGGACTATAGTATCCTGTACATCCTTGTGTGAAGGGATTCGCAGGCCTGCAACTTGATGCACCTACCCACACCTCAAGTGTTTTATGCTTTTTGGCTCATCCAAAGAAACCAGTCATGATTAAACAGACAGTAAAGAGGCACTTTCACATCCGTTGAGTGGCAACCGACGCAGTTCAAGCTGCCTAAAAGAAAGAATATTGACTATGCAGTGTGTCGACTTCATAAGCGACTTGGTGCCTCCAAACTAGTGCTTTTAATGTGCATGAAATGCCTTAAACGGAATGGTAGCCGGTGTTTTACAAGCATGTTAGCAAACCATCATGTGGCATCTTGTGCATCTGGTTTCTAGAGGTGCATTTATTTGTGTGTATTAAGCCACTCATCACTGCCATTTGAAAACAATTAGCAGATTCAAATGATTATTTATTCTTTTCTATTATTGATGCAGAGGTTATTGTATTCATTAGATGTATTATTTAAGATACCTTGTGTATTAACTTTTGCTATGGCTGGTAACCATAAGTACATCTCAAATAACAACCTAGTTATTTTTTGACGTTTTGTTTTCCCAATTTGCATTCTTTATCTAAAAAAAAAACGTACCTGATAGTCAAAAGACATCAGTTTTTTGTTATGTTGTTTTAATATTGCTGTTTTCCTTTCTTTCTTGTGAGTATCTATAAATGCTTATATTTTGCTAACTCTCCCCGGATGGTGTATTTTAAGGAAAATGTTTTTATATTGTCACACGTTGTAAACAAAGAGCCAAGTGTTTTGTTTTGTTGTTTTTTTGGTGGAGATTTCGCTGTTATTCTGTTGCTGTTTTTCCACCTCAGCTGTTACGGTATTTAATGCCAAATACATACGACGTAGCGTCATTGCGTTGCGTAGTTCTTCAGGAAGAGCGCTGCTCGCTCGTGATTGGATAACGAAGAATGATGCGTATTCAGCTCTGGTTCGTTTGAATATTCTTCACACGAGTCGAAGCAGATTCGTTCCCTCAGTGCGAAGACGCCTCTGTCCAAATACGTTCTCCTGCCAACATGCAGCAAAATTACAGATGCTGTTACAGTGTTAACATTTACATGCTACCTTGGTATTCCGGGGGAAAAAAAATGAAACTAGCGTTTTAGCATTGACGACGAATGTTTTGTTACATTATTTTGTAAAAGGTTTTGCGCGTTAGCATATCGGAACGTAGCCTATGTGATGCTGATAGGTTTTATTTTATTGTTATTTGATTTGTTGTCCCCCCCCCCCTATTCTGAAAAAGGGGTCTTGCTTTACTACGCTCTTTGAATTTTTCCCTATTGTTTATGATGTTTTTTTGTGTTACATTATTTTGTAAAAGGTTTTGCGCGTTAGCATATCGGAACGTAGCCTATGTGATGCTGATAGGTTTTATTTTATTGTTATTTGATTTGTTGTCCCCCCCCCCCTATTCTGAAAAAGGGGTCTTGCTTTACTACGCTCTTTGAATTTTTCCCTATTGTTTATGATGTTTTTTTTGTGTTATTTTCAAGAGCCGATGTCCTGTATTGACTGCAGGCTGACGTACATATACATATATAAAATATATATATTTTAAAAGAATCCTATGTTTATGAAACGATAGAACCAAATAAAAACCAAGAAAAATCAATCAAAACATTTTAAAAAAAAACGGGGGAAAAGGTAATTTATATTTTAGAGATGCATGCAAGAGGCTGGGAAGTCATATCTAGAAAAACAAATGGCAGTGCCTTTTTTTTTTATTCAGACATTTACCCCAAATGTAAATGTTTTCTATGGCTCTAAAATATAGAGATAAGCAGATGGTCAAAACTTCAAATCATACAAAGTCCATACGAGCCGATTCTGATGCGTTTGCTCGGGAGGAGCGTGCTGGTAGTTCATGGGAATCTGTATGCTTTAGGTACTTCAGTGCTGTTATGAAGTTATGATTATATCTGTCTGTACAACACAGAGATGTGTATATGTATTTTTGTTTGTATGTGTGGGAGTGTGACACTGTGTATCCAGGTGAGAACCCGGTTTGTCTTGTAATTTTTGTACATATACCTTCTTAGTTGCGTCATAACGTGGATGGCTTCGGCGGAGGCTGTTTTTTCGCTTCCTGTTTCCTGTGAGGCGTCACAGCTCGTGTTACGTCTCTCCGCTCATCTTAGCGCAGGTTTGAAAAAATCTTTACTGAAATGAACATTACTTTAGTCAATAAAGGGATTCTGTAATCTCTTTCCCTCTTTAGTTCGTGGCCTTGTCAGTGTGTTTTTGTGCGTTAATGGGAGATTATACTGTTTGTGTCTGTGATGTTCTGTCCGCCGACTGAATGTGTTTTTGTCTGTTTCATTGGGTCTGTGTTAAATGCTTGACATTTTTGTAATAACCACAGACGAAAAGTATTAAAGAGTAACTTTTGAAAAAGACTAAAGGTGTTTTTCTCATTTCAAAGCAGCGGTTGAATGGTATGGAGGAAGCTCTGCTCCTATATTCAGGGTAACTAACAACCACGAGTCTGTGAGGAATTTACTGCAGCCTCTCGATCTCAACCAATCAGAGAGCTCGAGACAGGTTTTTATTGCCAAGAGGCGGGGCTTTCTGTGAAAAAATGCTGAGTCACTCTCAACTCACTGTTTTATGAGCTCATTTATGATGGGCCAATGAAAGTGTCACACAGATGGGCAGTGTTATTCATGGAAAATATTAGGAAGTGAAATTGGCTTTTTAATCCATAAATGATATAAAGATCATTAAAAGGTAGAAGTTCGCCATGAAAATAATATCTATTTTTTTTTATACACACAAACTCTGTAACTGGGCTTCTGATACCTGGCTAAACCACTTCTAGGGTAGAAGGAAACTCGTAATTTTAACCCTAAAAGAAAGATATGTAATATTGTACTTAAAGGGGTCCAGACGTGGCGCGACGCTGCGCTTCTCGTCCGGTGTGCGACCGCCTGAAACGCTGTTCACCTCCGTGCCCAAACGTCTTTGTTTGGGCTTCCGAACAAGAGTGTCTGTCTCAGGACTGCAAGAGAGGGGCGTAACTTGAAGAAGGGGGCGTAACTTGAAGTTGTCCAAATCACACAGAATCACACGAGATGTTGTTGGCAAGATGGCCGCTTGTACTGAGACAACGGTGAGAATTTTTTTTGTCCCTTAATAATCGTTCAAATTCCTTGTGTGTGTAAACATACTTGGTAATAAAGCTATTCTGAATCTGATTCTGTTAAAACGGTTTAAACAAATTCATGTGTTCATCATAGTATGAGAATATACACAGAAAAAAAGCGCAGTGACAAGGTTAAACATCTTTGAACAATTCATCATGATGCTTTTTTTTTTTTTTACTGTACACTCTCATAGCGCTCGGTAAGTAAGTACTTAAAGAAATTAAGTGCCTATAACTTAGAAAGTATGCGGTTTCGAACGCAGCCCGACAACATCTCGTTTTGACATCTCGCGTGGTTCTGTGTGATTTGGACAACTTCAAGTTACGCCCCCTTCAAGTTACGCCCCTCTCTTGCAGTCCGTAGACAGACCCTTCTCCTTCCGAAAGCGGATGATGTCAGGAAACAGTGGTTGTAATTTATTTTTAACTCTGTTCCTGAGCATTATAACCCCAATTTGCTATTGTGTGCTGCGCATTTTACTGAGGACAGCTTCCACAACACGAGGGAGTACAGTGCCTGCCGGATTCGCCAAAAAGCTTTTGTTGAAAGACGGAGCAAGGGGCGTGGCAGTACTGAAACACCGTCTAAGCTGTTCGCCAATCACAACGCACTGGGACAGCTAACCAATCACAACACATTTTGTTTTTCGGAAGGCGGACCTTCATCAAAGCCGGAACTAATCGAGCCGTTTGTGCCAGGCTGGGGAGAAAGGTATTTTAATAATGTAAATTATGTGAAAAATAATGCGTTTTTCGAACCACCAAGCATGAGAGCATGTTCTAGTACACCCCCAAAACATAATCAAGACTTTGTAAAAGAGCATAATAGGACCACTTTATTTATTTTTATTAGCATTTATT